TCCCTACCCGATGGGATCTCATCCCATCGGAACGAGTGAATTCCGCTCACCCAGCGGCCCAAGAGATTTCCTCCAGCTCCTCTGCACCAATTACTGCCCTTGCATTCTTCCCCCCCCTTAACGTTCCCCTTACGCCTTTCAATGCGAACCAAAACCCAATTCTAATCTCGCCATTCCAATCGACTCCATCTTCGCACGCCCCACAAGCACCGCCACGTTCCACGCTGCCGCCCGGTTTTGTGAGAACCCCCTCCACAATTTTGAGAGTCCCATTTTTAGACTGAGATGGAACGAGAACTACCACAGTATCACATTATTTTTTTAAAAGAAAAACAGGGAAATACCAAAAGAGATCTATTCAAATCAATGTTTTCAAAAAACCCACGCCCTTCCCACCCATTTTTCTTTTGTTTAACTTCTGCTCTATCTCAATTTTGACGTAGGATAAATAGCCCACCCAGATGGTCTCAGTGCGGCATGAAGGCTCCGGGTCGTACCCGGGTCGTTTGGGCGCTGGGAAGGAGGCGCTGATTGCCTGGGTCTGCTTTGGGAGTGCAGCAGAGATGAAGAGAGAATTGAACCACAGGGAAAAAGGCAAAACACAAGCACAGAACCACTTGAGCAACCCACGCTATTTTAAACTTCAGAAACTTGTTCTTAATCCTCTTCTCTGGCTGGTTGTAGGCTTCAGGGCAACAAATCCTACCCATCTTGGTTACGGGTTGTAGCTGAAAATAATCGTTCTCCTGATGTAACAGCAACAAGAGAGCCAGGCTCTTCCCAGTGGTGCCCAGCGCCAGGACAAGGGGCCATGGGCACAACCTGAAGCAGAAGAGGTTCCAGTTGAACAGGAGGAAGAACTTGTTGACTGTGAGGGTGGCCGAGCCCTGGCCCAGGCTGCCCAGGGGGGCTGTGGAGTCTCCTTCTCTGGAGATCTTCAACCCCCGCCTGGACGCTGTCCTGTGCCCCCTGCTCTGGGTGAGCCTGCTTGGGCAGGGGGGTGGCACTGGGTGAGCTCCCGAGGGCCCTGCCAACCCCTGCCATGCTGGGATTCTGTGAGAAGCATCCAGCCTGGCAGATAAAACTTGCCAAAGTCTTTCTGCAAGACTGCATTGCAAGAAATGAAGACCACATTGAGAAGCTCAACACCTGGCAGCCTAGACTTCGAGTAGGTGTCTCCAAGCTGCCTTTCCTGAGACACAAAGGGCCCTCTTGCATTTTAAGCCCCATAAATCCAAGATGTTCCAGCGCAGGGCACTACCCTCTAGCGCAGGGAGGAAAGCAGAACCAACATTATCAGCGAGGTTACGCTTTGCGATTAATAAAACCAGCAGGCTGCCCAGCCTGAGGAAGCAGCAGCAGGGAAGGAGCTCGCCAAGGAATTGAAATTGCATTTAAAAAACTCTGTCCCAATGCAGTCCCTAGCAACACAAAGTATGAGACACATGTCCCACAGAAAAGGCCACGCATCTCCTGCCCTATGCAGCGGCTTATCTTTTTTTTTTTTTAAATGAAGGACAGATACCAAACTGCCTCCTCAGGAGTGTTCAGGGGCTGTTCAGTTCTCAGACAACACTTGCCCCTCTGCTGAGCCTACTAACGAGAAAAGGGGGCGATAGTGCACAGCACCCCAATGCTGAAGCACCCCCCACATCCTACAGCCTATTCTGCATCGCTGTGGCACGCTGCACGGCAACGTGAAAGACTGAGCGAGGTTGCGAGCCACGACTGATCACCCCCAAACTGCCCAGTCTCCTGCATTTGATGTTATACAGTTACCTCTTCATCCTCATCCTCATCTTCAACATCCAGGATACCCGAATCCTGCTCAGACATGGGGCTAGTGTTTTTTACCTCCAGATCTGAGCTTGCGCAGACGTCTTTCTTGGACTTCTTTCCCCCACTTATCCTGGGATGCTGTGACACAATATTGTCCAAGTTTCTTTGCTGCTGTGCCTAGGACAAAAAAAAAAAAAGCAGATTTCACATTTTATGATAGCATCCTCAGCTTTGGTTTTTTTTTTTTTTTCAGCCAAAAGATGCAATCAGTCATGAAATACAACAAATGAGACAAAATACAACACACTCTTAATGGAACTTTGACATGCTATGTTTTTCCTAACCCAGATATTCCAAAGAAACAGAAGATTCATTTCAAAACCATTCCAGGGATTATGCAACAATACAAACAATATTCTGACTCTTCACAAATCAAAACGCCAAACCCATCATACTGCCATATTGATCTATTTACGGCACAGATGCAGAAATATTAGCCCATAGGCCATGTGGTGACTGTCACAGGCTAAATTAAAGGACCTACTTAACTGTTGGATTTGTTCCTCTTTTCAACCCATGTCAGCACAAAACATTCCACATCTGGACCCCAGAGGTTCCTGAAAGCATTTTTGTGGTACCCCAGGAGAGCTTAATTGTACGTTGCTGATGTACGGAATGAGCTGTAAAAGGTATTGAACAAAAATCCGCTCGCGGGGAGAAGCACCACGATTCAGGGAACAAAACACACGGACCCGGCGGAGCTCCCTCGAAGCGCTGTTGATACCTTCTCCTGGGGCTTTGGAGTTTGTTTGCAGCGGAGGTCAACGCGCGTGCTCTGCTGCAAAAACTCTCTTGGTTCCCCTCGCTGTTACTGAGCTCAATATTGGACAGGCAAAATGGTTTAGCCCAATATTTGACAGGCAACATGGTTTAGCCCCAATTGTTCAAGAGAGTTGACCAAGAACTTCAAACCAAAGGGGAAGGGCAAGGAGGGGGCATGGCAAAGAGACACCGTTCTCACCACAAGTGCCGAATCATGGCCAAAGCAAGGGGGGAAAGGCCAAGCCAACAGATGCAGCGGTTCTGCACGTGTGGGCTTATGCTCTGGTGTAACTAGAAATGCCCTGAAAACCCAACATTTATATGGATACATACACACAGATTTATAGGATCCCTCCCATATTTTTCTATACATTTTTTATACATGAGAAGAAAGGTGTACGGAAATCATCCAGGTATTCTTTGGAAAGGGTCATTTTAGATGGTAGGCTTCTTTGTAAAAAGAATGAGTTTTATATATATTTCAGTTATTGATATAAACTCTATTTCTAGCAATTACCTGTACAACCCGAATCAAACCTGCACCCCTGGAATTTATTGCTCCCCTACAACAGGAGACAAACGAGGTGGCGAAAGGGGACCACCCCCTGCCCCACGCCAGCGCGGCAGCCTGGCTTTAGAAGGAAGAAGGAAAACTAGAAATCGTTTTGTAGCTACTCTTGCCAGTGGAACCAACTGTGCTAGGAAAATAATGGAGAATTAAAACAAGCGGAACCTATATACGGATAAAAAAAAAAAAAACAACCAACTAATTACTTTTGCTACCTGAACTGCAGAAAGTAGAAAGCTCTTTCTAGAGTGCAAACCTTCAAAATTATTTCCTTTTAAACACTTAAAAGTATTAACATCACACAAAAATAATTTATGAGCAAGTTGTATTTTGACAGCCTCTCTCAGCTCAGCTCCCGTTTGAATCCCTCCTTGGGAAGAAAGCCCCCATCAGAGACCGATCACTTGTGTAGCTTCTAGATCTGAAGAATATTAAAACCCAAACATGGCACAGATATCCCAACCCTTGGAAAACCCCGCGGGCTCTACCATTGTGTAAGGCAAAGTGCCCTTCACACCGTGCACGTACAAGCAGCTCCATCTTAATTAATGAACGTGGCAACTGATGATAAAATTAAACCTATATAGCTGACACCAGACGTGGTTGCACCAGGAACTGGAGCTAAACCTTGCATGATGCGCAGCCCTGTGCTATGCCATAGCACAACCTTGACCTCTAGTGGTTGGAAAGTAGTAGCATCGTTGATGTTGACTACAAGTGCTCTTACAAGAGAAGTAACAGCTGAGCAAGGGGACTACCAACCAAGCTTATTCACAAAGGTCTCGTAAGGGATGAGTCTCAACAGGGATTTTTGCAACAAAGCCACAGGGAAAGGTCTGTGTGGACACTGCTGAAGACACATTTTGCTAGCAACGTCAATACTTGAAGCAACTGGGGGGGAAAGCGGTGTTTTTTGCATTAGAAATCTCAAACTTCAGAGGGACAACTCTATAGAAAGACATTGCAACATCATATAAAGAGAACTAGGACTTCAAAAAGGGGAGTGAGTGTTTGGTCCTTCTGAAGCCCACACAACAAAGAGATTCAAGGCTCGATTCCACTCTCAGATACGCCCATTTATGACATAAGTTACTCCACTGAAGCGTAATGAAGTTGTAACACTGAATCCACTGTAAATTACACCAAAAGCAAGCCCAGTGTACTCATTAAAATCTCTCAAACTTATGTAATTTTTTTTCCTCTAGAAAGGGAAGAAATCAAAGAATGGGAAAATGCAAAGTTTTGGATAAAACATTGTGCTTGAAATGGATCATTAAAAAGGGCGTAGCAAGATCACAAGCAGAAAAAAATGGTCATGGGAGAGGAAAAATCTGGGCCGACAAGCTGAAGGATGCCGCCGCCAGCTCTGAACTTCACCGCCGAAGCCCTAAGCGTGTAACACTCAGCATTTTGGGCTGAACCCAGAATTAGTCTCAACAGAGGAGCCTGTGGCCACGTCCTCAGAAGCCGTATTATCTTTCTCCCCCATCTCTTTTCAAACAAGAGGTATTAATGTCATCCTTCAGCTTCAGCTGTGCTCACAAGAATACAGCAGTACATCACCTCCACTGGCCAGGTGTCAATATTGATAAGATCCAAATCAAATATTGATAAGATCTGAATCAAAACTCCCAAGTCAGGAAAGGCTGTCCTTCCAGAAGTCGTCATCGCTTCAGGCCAAGGAGTTCGACATCCAAATTCAAACACCACTTTTTGCATTTTGCATACTTTAAAGGCAAATAAACACGTTTATCAAGAGAAAAAATTTTGACCTGAAATAAAGTCCAGGGGCCTACTGGGAAAAAGAAAAAAAGGGAAAAAGTAGTACATCCCACTTCCCAGAGATCCACGAAAAGCAGCCAGAGAGATGCTCCCAATGCACCAAAGCTTTGCAGCCTACCAAGAGCCATTTTTACCTTTAGGAATTGGGGGGGAGCAGAAAAAAAAGTTCTAAATTAGAAGAGATTTTCCAGGGATTTCTACCTTAAAGCCTGACAAATGGCCCCAAAGCAACTCAAGTGACGTTTATTCCCTTCCAGCACACTAGTGCACATCACAGAGCGTAGCCCCCATCTTGCACAGCCGCCGCTCCGGCGTACGATGGGCACAGCCCGCGGAGGCGCCGCGATACGAGCAGAGCCCAGAACCTAGGTTTTATGCCGGAACGACACAATGTACGCGCCAGAAAAAAACAGTGATTGCTTTTCCATTAACAGGAGGGCATTTCCCCCGCCCCCACTCTTGGCAGGAAGCAATCTGGACTGGAGTGACCTAGAAGTGAGAAATATCAAATTTTCTTTAACTTCGGCAGGCTTGGGTGAAGTCACCGAGGTTTCAGTTTCACCTTGAGAGAAAGAGAGCGCTGGGGAGAGGCCCAGAGGAAGCAACTAAGGAGAAATTTGGGCTTAACCGCCAAGGAACTCCCCGCTCCTACCCCCATCTCGTTACCCGCACCTTCCCGGGCCGGGGGTGCAGCAGAACAACTCTGCAATACATCTGACGTCGCGCGTAAAGGATGAAAAATGACCTGCAGAGCAGGCACATTTGGATTTTAATGTTCTGTTTCACATAAATGCATCTGTAGGGAGCCCAATGAAGAGGCACACTTTAGAAACCACATCAAAGCACAGGCGACACTCCAGCATGCCCTCTGAAAATGGAGGGACCTGGGGCTACGGGGGAGGCGAAAAGCCCTCCAGGGACAAAAATCAAATAAAAAATCCCCTTACCTTTTTGGTGTGGTTCACATGAAAGCAAGTGCATTTTTGTATTATTCTGTAAAATTGCCTCTATTATACAAGGCTATCAATCTCTTGCCTCTCTGCTTAATGTGACGATAAAAAAAAAAGGTAAAGAAACCAAATGTCTGTTCGCAGCTAACGTTACATTTAGCAATAACACACAAAGTGTTTGGTTCACGCAGCTGGAACTCCCCTCCAAGCACAGCTACTTTCCTCATCCACGCGATCAGCGCAGCAGGCTGGCAGCCTCCTTGCGGCGCAGGAACACCCTACACCGCTCTGACACCGCAGAAATCCCAGCCCCCCTGACAGCAACACTATTTCCAGGCTGCTTGATATAAGACCCAAAGTCAGCTTGCCACCTCCAGGAGCAGGTTTAGGTCAGTGACCTACGTTTGCTGTTGTAACCGGACCAAGGTTGGCCATCGGGCAGTTGAGGAGACCTTCATCTCCACGGCTGATACGTTGGTTGGCTGAATGCAACTGGAAGTATCAATCTCTTTTGCTGTTGTTCACTGAGAAACAGAGAATCAAAGGAACAAGGGACAAAAGCACTTCTATCTTTACTACTTGTTTTCTCTCCCCAGCTGTCCTCTTCTTTTATGTTACCCGCACACCACCCCGCCAAGTGCCCAACCTCGCAGGACGCAGCTTTGGGGCTTTTCCCTTCGAGCCTGTCGTACAAGAGTCCTAAATACGAGTCCTCAACGTGAGTCCATCCTGAAATGGCTGCCGCAAGCTTTGGAGCAGCAACTCCACCTTCACCACCCATCGCAACTCAACTGAGCCAACCCAACCGACCAAGCACTCCGACCCAACGTTCTGCATGAGGAATTAAATGGGTTGGCTTAAAACCCTAGGGACAAGTTGTAGTTGAATTTTTCGTAGCTGAATTTTTCAAAGTAACTTGACTGCTTGTGATCAAGCAAGCACGACCCCAAACCTGCGTAGCTATGCTGGGGAACAACACGGAGTAGCAGAGCAGGTCATGGACTCCTCCAGGCTCTTCTTGCCTACAGAAGCCATACCCACCATAAGGGAAAGCT